AAAGCAGTGAAAATCATTAACAGGCAATCGTTCGATGGGCCGAATTGCACAAAACGCATGATCGCATCGGCTAGTCTGGTGCGCGTTGCCATTTATTAACCTTTCAGATAAAACTTGCTAGTAAAACTGCAACCCAACCCAAGCAATCGTTCACAGAAAAAAAAAAATTCGAAAGATGGTAGAGCGCAAAAAAGAGGCACAACTCGGCCGACACTGGAAGAAAGTGGCAGAAGCTGGGCTATGGCTTCCTAAGCTTGGCTACACCACCCCGGTCAATTCAAAGCTTTTCAGTATTGCGTATCGACCTAAGATGAGGAATACTAGTGCACATCAAGCCCTTAAATTGGCCCCGTGACTCAGGATATCCCTTCTTTCGTCCCAATGCCCCTCCCCCCTCCGCCCCTTCCCGCTCCTCCTGTCTATTCAGCCTATTTCGTCGCATCTCATAATATCACATACTAGCATTGCAAATGCGGACTACCTTAGTTTTTATACAGGCTTGTGAAACTGCAAAACAACATATTTTCTATTTTCATAGGCGTGAAAAACCGATTAACCTTTGAATGAAGAGATTTCCATTTCCAAATCCGAGTTTTTCCTCATTAGTCCTTCAATATCATTCTGATATCGCACTGGAAAGATTTTGATATAAGTTGCACAGAAAGGGTCATCCCTTCCAAAACGAAACAAATTTCGTCAAGCGACTCGATATGAATGAGGAACAGAAAAAGAATAACTGGGAACCTGAAATATGGCAGTCTCTTCCGGGAACCACGAAACGCCACGGTTTTTTTTTGCATTATGAGTAATTCTAATTGTTCACTTTTTCAATCATTGAGCACTTCTGAACCGACTTTAATTGCGGTTTTTTTTTTTTGTAGTAATTTGAATTCTTATAGCAACACTCGTATTTTTTGAGAAACTCGTGAGATTTCAAACCTAGCCTCCAGGTGAGCGTAGTTCTCACGCACGGGCGCTTAAAAACTTTGGCGGAAAAATTGCTCACTGAACAGCTAGGTTATTTTCAAAGAATGACCATTAAACGGAATTTGTTCATTTTGTATTTGCGCACTTTTAGGCTCCGCTTGAGGTGAAAACAGTCTATGAATCTGTAATGAATTTTTACCAAAGCGAGTATCGAAGTTGGGTGGACTGCAATTTTCACAGCACTGTAACTCATGCCTTTTCTCTTCGTTTACTACACTGTCTTAAAGACGTCTGGCTAATAAATGAGTGGGAACTGTGTATCACGTATGCGTATGCGTGTATGACATGTATGTGAACACATAACGATTTCTACTCGTAGGATCGACTGAGCTGAAAATCGACATAATTTAAAATGCCAAGTTAAATTTCATTTCAGGGCCAGTGAGATACAAAAGAACAGAGTGGAAACGCTATTCCTCGCAAACGAACCAGCTAATTCATCGCTGTAAGCATCTCCTCGCGATCCTTTTGTGCTCTCCTCCAAAAGTTCGCAGTGTTTCATCACCTGAAATACTCAGCGCCCATTCTTAATGAACGCAGTTTAGCGTACATCCAGAAAAGGAGTGCAGAAACAAGACTTTCCAGAAGCGCCCGTGCCACGACAGAACCAAAAGTGCTAAGACTGCGGTTCTCGCGCTCATCTTCCCATCAGCCATTTCATGCGCTTCATGAAATTCAGGAAAGTGACTGGGCATACTTCGGCTGCGGATAAAGCACCTCATTCCAGGAACGTAAGAAATAGAAGAATAAAGGAGAGTGGAGTAAGTATCATGTGTTAAAAGGCATGTTAGTATGCAGCCTGTATTTCATCCCTTAGCTGTAGACAAACACCGAGCTATGCATGGAAGTAGGAGTGAGAATCATCAGTACCGCCTCCTTAAGAGCCATGTGATGAACAGTCATGTGACTAATTTGCAAGGCGAATGTAAGAAGGAACAGGGAGGAAGAGGAAGTCGAGTCATGACGCGGACACTCACTGTCTGCCATTCATGAGCTAGCATTTTCTATGAGAACAGTGTGCTGACTAGACTTTTAATTCCTGAATCAAGCAGGATTTGCTAAGTACGGATTGATTTCAGAAGCAGAATCTGAGGACGGGACGTTCTATTTTGTAAAATCAAAGCCAACCTTGTTTAACTCAGAAAGAAGCGTCGATTGCTGCAGGCGGAATTCCTCTTCTTGTAGCGCCAGTTTTTGTTGGAGGAGACGAACTTCACTTTCGAACTTATCGTTCACGTTTTCTTTTTCCCTCTTTCGACCGATCAACTAAAAAGTACCGCATACACACGATGAAGCCTCAATCCGTTGTTCGCCGGTCCACTGTGTGTGAACTGTTTGGCCCTCTTGTCACTTTCAGGAGTTTTCTATAGCGCGACTGCTACACTCAGAATGTGCTTACCTTGGAGACGGAGAGTAACGGGTCGGAGCCGCCTCTGGAGGATAGAGCGTCGATGCAGCTCTGCTGGCGTCTGTTCTCCTCCAGCAATTCGTAATTGCAGTTACGCAATGCGATGAGCTGCTCCTGAAGCCGACAAAACTCCTCCTGCGAAATCGCTGCAGCTTTCCGCTGGTGCTCATCTTCTTCGGACATTCGTGCTGCTTCTTGAAAACCATCACTGTAGACGCACAAACACACACAGCGCCCCTCACAGAGCCCGCCAACACTGCGTCACAGAACAAAAAAGTAATAAAAGCACTGCGAAGCACTCAAATCGGGCAATTCGGCAACGACTCCGCTTGGAGGAAGCAAAGGAGGAGGAGTGGAGATGCGGTGGCTGCAGTGCTCCCTTTCAAATCAAGGGGTAGGGGAGGGATGGATGAGAAATTAGAAGGGCTGGGATACGGTGATTTATGTCTCAGGGAGTCGTAAGAGAAGGTACAGGATGCGAATACTGAGTGGAAAGCGGCTGAGGCCTTGTTCGGAAGTAGGACTTGAAAACAGGGGCAAGGATCATTGAGGGGAGGGCCTCTGTGAGTTTTTTATGTTCAGCACGGAATTTACTGCTGAGCAAAAGTTAGCAGTCTTGAGCACGACACCTGGAACTCACAGAGGCAAGAAACCCCGCAAAGCGATTCCCGCAACCCCGACCTGACCCCAAAATGGGTGCTATTGGGCGGCCGAGTTGAGCCGGACCGAGTCTAGTTTTAATAGTTTCCATAGGGGCTGTCACTAAAACTCGGGCCTGCGGAGTCAAGTTCAGGGTTTCTTTTTATGCGTTTTTGAGCGCTATAGCAGCGCGCTGCTACAGCCAGCAAAAAAGCATATTGTCGAGAGGCTGTCTGTGTGTGTATGCGTGTGTGTGTGTATTCGGAAGACGAGTGCATTTTGTCATCCACTTTCATCTCAGCAACCAGGAAAGCCGGGAGGCTGAAACTTCGGATATATGTTTCTATCCCGTGTGTCATCCTCCCGTTTTAAGATCCTTCCCCACACGCGCCTAGACCCCGCGTACGGGACCCCCAAAGAAATGTGTTGGCGGGAAGCGATTTCGCGAACCAACGTAGAAAGCTGAAACG